TAATAAATTATTATGTAGATGATTGGAAAGTTTTCATTTAATTATTAACGTCAAATGAATAAAGATATTTATAAACGGGTCCTAGGCTTCGTAGCTATTAATCGCAGATAAATTAATATTTCTTCGTAAAATAAATTTTTTATTTATTATATCTTATTTTTTTTTTTTTTTTTTTTTTTTTTTTTTATAAATTTTACTGGAAGATTATTGAGAGTCAGGTTATTGGCAGTATGAGCATAAATTTAAATAAAATTGCTTAGACTAATAAGGATGATATTAATAAATATAAAAATTTACCTTGACAATTGCATATGGGAGAAAATTACTATAATAAGTGTAAATGTAAATGTAAATACTGGTTCAGGAAAGTGAAGGTCATAGCGAAAGATAATAAATTAGAAAAATTTTAAACTAAAACTTCTGAACTAATAGTAATTTCACGAATATTCAATTTAGAATTATGTAAAGTTAAATTTACATGACATCAAATGTTGATGAAATAAAAAAATGATTACTAATAATTTTATTATATCGCCAATTTTTAATAAAGGAAAGATCAATATTACATCAATTTTTATTTAATTGTCTAAATAATCTAAAATTTAAAATAATGTAATGTGTGTGTTAATGCAGAAAAATATTTAGTTGTTTGGAAATTACATGTACGTTTTGTACACATGATTTATCTTCGCTGCATTTTTTTAAAATATTTTTTTGAACGTAAAGCCATTTATTGTATAAATTTTGATTTACGAAACGTCTGTATATTAATTAGCATTATTTTGATGAATATTTGAATATCATTGGGTAAATAATAACATATTTATGTAGAGTTTTATTTTTTTTAGCAACGTTTTTAGCATTCTTTTACTTGTAAGAATAAGTTATATTGAAATAATGCAAGTGATGTAATAAATTGTAGATAACGGGAATATTATACTTAACATTTACATAAAATACGGTAATAGTATTACAGGCCGAATGAGACACATTAAATTGATTGAAATAATCACAATATTCTCAGTGTAAATTTTTCTTTTATCATGGAATAGACATTGATGCTCACCCTAAATCACTTACTTTAAAAGTCAATATCATTGAACTGGAGAATTTACATAGTTGCTCAACTCGTTATTGCAGACACAATTAATGAAAATATAACATGGCGCATTTTAAAAATAACGAAAAGCACACTTATCTTTCGTCTATTTATCATTATTCCTGCT